CACACACACACACACACACACACACACACACACACACACACACACACACACACACACACACAGATTAGAGTCCCAGATGGTTAGGGATATAAACTGTGTGTGTTTACTTGTTTTACTCATGTTGTGAGGACATAAATCAGGCCCTGATAGTGTAAAGAGTTGCATTTAGTGCTGCTCTGTGTCACTGTGTGTGTTTCTTTCTCTCTCCATTAGGAGTGCAGACAGCAGGCTCGCTCATCCATGGCATCACAGCAGCAGCAGCAGTGCAAAGGTAGGAATACTGCCGGGTGATTTCCTCGAGACCTCCATGGGAATTCACGGAATGTCCCGGAACGCCCAGGGTGGGCCTCGTTGTCATTTTTCCTGTTTGGTTGTTTCCACTGAAGAGCCTTACTTCCTGCTGTTGCTGCTAGTTTACACACACACGCACACACACACACAAACACAGAGTAAGGAAATAGCTCTGTGATTGTGAAAGTCAGATATATACACAATTAAAATAAGAGGATTTCCTCATGAAAAATAAAATCCTCTCTGCTCAGCGACCTCTTGTTGGAGAGAATCAGTGCTTTACATAAGACATGAAGACTTAGACAATAAAGAATCACAAAGCACGCGAGTGGATGTAAAACAAATGGTTTTAGATCATCAGTCAGATGGGTAAAAGGTTGAAAATAGGTTTCTAGCAGTGCTGTTTCTGTGTTAACTTTAAAGTTTGACATCACAATTTTCTGTTACATTAACAGAAATGGCTTTACTTGAGCTATGCAGCCAGCACAGCTAAAAATAAACGTGGATTACCTTCCTGCAGCCTCAAATCTCTGGGAGGTGATTGTCATAATGTAGAGAAATGAACAGAATTCGGCAGCTGCCTGGAGGGAAGAAAACTAAGCTAAAAATATTTGTATTCTTTGGTCAATAGGTCACTGTATTTGTTTATTCCAGCACCCTGCACATGTACAGCCCGTGTGTTTAAAAAAACATATAGAGAAATCCACACTTTACACAGTTACATGTGCACATGCCGGGAATGCAGGAATCACAATTCCAGCAACAGTTAGAGTGGAAACCTGCAACTCCTTCCAGTGCAGCTGCTGTTCTTACATTGCAGTCCTTTTATGACTGCTTGCACTGGAGCTTCTACTGTGTCATCACAGACAAATCACAATTTCGTCACAAATTTGCTGCGCCTCAGGGCCCAAACAGGAGCCTTTAGTCAGTCTGCAGTGTCCAAGCCCTGTGACGGAGCATCACGCTGCCAATGCTGTCTTCTAGTTTAGCATCCTGAGGCATCTGAACATTATGGAGGAACATTCAGTGATGTTTGAGGATCATCACACATGTGAGCTGGTTCTCTAGCCAGAACTTGGAGAACCAAACAGAAACCTTGTTAAAGAAGCTGCATAGTCCAATCCTGAAGCTGGTGTATCAGTGGGTGTGCACCTTAAACGTGTCCCTCATAGTCACACTGCCAAAGTAGAGTTTCACTATAAATACATGACATGGGAACAGCTTTGGCTCTTCAGATGTAAGATTTTTAAGACCGATACTGATACCAATATTTGGTGATTTTAAAAAATCTGATATACCGACAGATTTTTTTTTTCTTTCAGACACATGAAGAATAAACAGTACACATAATTATTTATAAGTAATTACTAAGATGAGACGAGAGTGCAGTTTAAAATGATCTTGTTTTACTGGCACAACAAATCGTGGATTACTCGACTCTTCTAGCATCAGCTGGCTATTGTGTTTGTGGAGTTCAAAACACGTGTTACCTATGGGGAGGTTGCATAGTGCCCTCTGGTGGACAAACTATGCAATTGTTCAACTCACAACATAGCTGAAGGGTGTTTCTCCCATCTTCTCTACTTATTTATTTAGATCTATCCACCATTAAAAATGATATCAGCAGGTAGCTAATATTGATCCCACTGACATGTTGGTCAGGCTTGGTACAACAACCCAAACTTGGTATCTGGCTAACAGTAACTGCACTGTTCTCCACAGAGAATATTCATGGTAAATACATACTGTGTGTAAACACTGATGGAGAGCCAGCAAACGCATAGGCGCAAGTGGTCAAGATGGGACTCCCAAAGTAATCTGAAAAGAGCAGCCACACTAGGAATTGTATATGTCATTAGGAGGGCTAACAACACCAGCAACAACTGTAATATAAAGACAAATTTTTATCATGAGACGAAAGACGAAATTAACAAACTTTCCACTCTGTCCTTCTCCATATTCTGCAGGCTAGCGGCTAGCTGCCCACCAAGCCCGGTGCCAGAGACTGATTCTAGGCAGAGGGAGCCAGGTAATGACCCTCAGTCCTTCCATCAGACAGCCTCCACGCATTGAGCCGGATCATGCTTTAGCTCCCTGACAGTCAGTCAAAATGATGGCCTCGGTGGTAATCGGGGGACATCGGAAGAAGTCCCTCACGTTGAGAGGTGTGGACCCAGAGACCTGCATGATCGTGTTTAAGAACCACTGGGCACAGGTGATCTTTTTATTTACTCCTGCATCATCTTCATCTTTACTGGTTAATCAGTGCTTTGCTTCACAGATAAAGTCACTACTGACATGTTTTTTTAGCTGCTCTTTGTCTCTTCTGTCTGGCCTGGCCTAGTTTCACTTACAATGACTGTGTGACTGTCTGCGTGTGTCTATGAATGTGTGTCAGCATTACTGGCCAGACTCTGGCTCTTAAACACAGGATCCATTTAGTACAAATCACTCTCCACAGCTGCCAAGAAAACCCCCACAGACTCTGCATCGTCTGTGTGTGTACAAGTATTTTGTGTGTGTTTGCAAGTGTGTGCATGCGGTCCTTGTCTGAAGCAGCTAATGTCAAAGGTTAACACAAGTCCAGAGAGTGAATTGCGTTCTTGTTTCATTCATCTCTTTTTCATCCCTCCCACGGCTATCTCTCTGTTGTGGCATCTTAAATGTTTTACAGCAATAAAATTATTTTCTTTATTAGACAAATAAAAAAAAAAATTTAGTCCATTTTATGTGAGCTCCACTTAATTTTCCTCCTTGGCGCGTTTCATATGTGGACATTTCAACACAGTCATCGCACTTGGGTGAGGACAGATGATCACACTCACATCCGTTGGCGGAGGTTGTCTTGGTCTGTCTCCAAACAAACTCCCAAGCGGTTTATTTATGATGACAATGTGATCCCACCTCAGTCTGCACATCGTACTCAGCAGATTTCAGCTGAGTTTCAGTTTCAGAAATTACGAAGAAATTAAATACGATGATTTTGGGAGTAACTTATCCATGTTATCCATTAGTCTGCAATGCAGCACCCTCTGCCTGTATTTCTTTTCTTTGCTCCCGGCACAGACACATTCTGCCAATATATGGACTGAACGGTCTTGTGTGGTTTGTAGCAACACATTTTGGTTTGCTTGGAATTTCTGTTACAAAAAGCAAAAGTACAGGAAATAAACTCATTAACTGATTCAGACTAGAGTAAATAAACAAAACACCCTTTTTCCAAAGGCTGATCGAGGTAAGCTCAAATTTGTCCACGAACTCTAGGGAAATCAAACAAATATACACAGGTCAAAATTGCTCAGAATTACAAAATTACTCCTCAAATAGAACATTGACATTGCCACTCCATAAGTTTTTGTGGTGTCTAGTGGTCATTAGAGGAATTACAACTGTAGTCCTTCAGCTGAGAAGGGTCCAAGACAGCTGCATATAAATATTATTTCTAATGCATTGAGGTAAAGAGGTGATGATCCAGTTTGGTACCATTAGAAACTAAAGGAAGCCAAAATAAAAACATGATATAAATAATGCGTTTCTGTTTTCTTCATGCATTAAGTTAAACAGCATTTTGCCCCAGTGACGTTTCTAACCTGGACGCTTGAGAGATTATTAAGTGACATCATTTATGCCATATTTCATTTAATAAATCTGTCTCCAGCTGTTATGTTTGTGTTTGTACCAGGATAAAGCTTTGGTTTAGTGAGTTTAGTTTTTAACTTTTCCATGCAGTTTCAAATACATTCATTAAAATGTACTTTAAAATAATCTGAATACGCTTTGATAAAACAGGTGTGAGTATCTACTGAGTAATTTCCTCTAATCACTCTCATTTCAGGTGTTTGTTTTGCTTGTCGTATAAAGATGGCTGTAAACGCATTGTCTTTTACATCCTTGTGTTTCTGTTGTTTTTCAGGTGGTGAAGATCCTGGAGAAACACGAGCCGAGTCGCAGCGGCACCAACGCGCTGAGTTTCCTCACAGGTCATGGCAGCAGCAGCTCCGGAGCGCTACGTCTAGGCCCCATCCCGGCCGACGAGGCCAGCGCCGTCCAGAACTACGTGGAGCACATGCTCTTTCTACTGATGGAGGAAGAGGCGGGCCAAGGTAGGATTAAAGAAATCATCCCTCACTGTGCAACAAATGCAGTAGTATACTGGGACTCAGGAGTGTTTGTGCACCGGTACCAGGGGGAGCGATGGGTCCGATCCTGGAGTTTGTGGTCCTTGAGGGTGTGATGGAGAGGCTGTTTCTGTGGAGTCTGAGGAGGCAGTTCACTGAGGACATGAAGCTAGAGCAACTCAGGATGTACCAGATGCTTTTGTCTCAGGCCAAACAGCCTCTGCTTCACCATAAACCGGTTCTGCGGCCGCTAATGATGCTGCTCGCCTCCTGCGCCGGAGCTGCATCTGGTGAGTTGGAGGTGAAAGTGTTGAAATGTTTAAGATTTGACTTCCCAGGCCAAATGAAGGTTTAGCTGATTACTACACCATCTAGTGGTACAATGTGGTATTACATTACAGTGCAGCCAAGCCCAAGTTCAAGTTCAGCTGTTATCTCTCCCATACAACACAATATATATAAAATATATATAAACTATATATATATATATAACGGATGTTTCTGACAGAAAGTAGGGGCAATTGTTTAAGTGATAGCTTCATTTATTAAGGGATGTTTTTAGGTTTAGATTTTTACATTAAGTACCTGAAGTGTCACTTGAAGCCTTTTGCAGACACTGTGAAAAAGCACCAGTACACACAGTGTAACCACAGCAAACAAAGAATGGTATTTCAAATAAGGTGATTTTTTTCCCCCTCATCTTTACATCAAAATGGATTTAAGTGGTTAATTATGAGGTCATTTCTCAAGCTGGAGGTGTAACCACTAACCAGTAAGACGTTTAATTGGTTACCTGACCCTTTAATCACCTGCGGCCCCCTGTAGACACCGGCGGCGTGGTGGAGGCGGAGCTAGTCCTCCTGCTGAACCAGCTCTGCGTGGCTCTGGTCAAGGATCCCTCAGTGCTCGAACTGTTCTTCCACACCAGCGAGGACCAGGGAGCTGCCAACTTCCTTCTCTTCTCCCTGCTCATCCCGTATACACACAGGTAGGTACACACACACAGGTGCATACACTCTGCTGGATAAAAAAGGGTAACACAAATGTACACAGGTAACACACAGGTGATGTATGTACTTCAGAACTGCACAAAACTCATAGCCTGTGTTATCTCTGTCTCTCAGGCAGGGATTGGTAGGTCAACAGGCCCGAGATGCTCTGCTGCTCATCATGTCTCTGTCTGCCTCTGAGCCTCGAGTCGCTCAGCACATTGCAGAGAACACATACTTCTGTCCTGTAAGTAAATGCACAACATGAAAAGATAACTGTTTAAGAATTACAGACCATTTTTTCATACACAGTCCAACATTTTCAGAGGCTTGTTTTTAATACTTGGATGATTCCCTGCCTCAAAATGCTCTGCTCAGTCTTTACTGCTGCCACCTTCAGCTGCTGCTTGTTTGTGGGTCAGTTCTGTGTTTAATAAGTTGAGTTGAGATCATCTGAATTACTTGGCCAACGAAGATTATTCCATGTCTTTGCCTTGAATTACTATTGGGTTGCTTTGGGTCATCATCATTTGCACTGTGAAGCTTCATCTGTGCAGTTTTGCAGCGTGTGTCTGATTCTGGACACTTTACACTTCATCCAGCTGCTTTGATCAGCAGTCACATAATCAATAAGCATTAGTGCCACTGGCAGCATGCATGCCATCACATTACCTTCCATATATCTTACACACTGTGTAAGATACAGTGAGATGTAGGGACAGTGAAAATGTAGGGGACAGGAGTAAGATACTTACTACTATGTGTGTGCATGAGTGTGAGTGTGTGTGTGCGTGCGTGTGTGTGTGTGTGTGTGTGTGTGTGTGTGTGTGTGTGTGCGTGTGTGTGTGTGAGAGTGTGTGTGTGTGTGTGTGGACATACCTCCTGTTCTTGAGTGGAACCGGTTATTTGCACATTGTTGTGAACCTTCTGTGGTTGTACTTGTGAAGGCGTTTCCTGACTGTAAACCATAATGATGACACACACCTACCTGTGTTCTTGACTCGGCTCGATGTTGTGATGGGTTCACAGTTTTCTTTTGGTGTTTCAGCCAAACGATGACCTCATTCACTTAGATTGGCACCTGACTGACAGTCAAATGGAGAATTCCAGTAAAAAGCTAACACATACAAGTTCAACTCTCTATTTTTTTTAAATAGGACCAGGCCTCACCTGGCCATAAAACTGCTTGTCAGTCAACTATTGAGTTATTTCTGGGCCTTTGAAAATGAGAGACAGCGAAAAATATCTCTGACTTTTGTTAAATCCCTTGAATGAAATCCCTGCACTTTGATCACATGTTGATTGTTTGCTTTGATCTTTGGTGGTGCTATGAGGCCAAACTACATAAACTGTGTCATTGTCAAAAAACTTATGAACTTAACTGGATGTGTACAAGTCTCAAAAATGTAAATGACGGTTGAATGTGCGTAAAGTTTAGAAAGAAAGCACTTAAGTCTAGAAAAAGGTGCTTGTGTGAGTGAGGCATAAAAAGCTCTAATAGAGCTCAAAACTGCGATATAAGAACCACATCATTTAACACTTGAAGAGACGACCAATCAGGGTGAAGGATACTGCTGATTAACGAATCACAGTGTAGTTAATATATTACAGGGGTACCCAGGTAACCTGTTTTCTCAGTTTTCTCAAAGACATTGTGCAACATTATGAATATGGTGAGAACAAAGTGGTGTTAGATTAAGACTTCTGTGTTTGCATTATGCTGTGAAACTTTAAATACGTGAGATTTATGTCACATCTGTAAAGTGTTTAAAGCTATTCTTCACAAGCTGAGCCAGCAGTTTATCTCACATAGACCCCCATTAGCCCAGCTAAACTGGGTTAATCTCCACATGCCTTCCAGCCTGCAGAGAAAAAGGGCGTTTATTCCTCTGCTGAAGTGAAGCAACTGACTGTTTTCTGTTTCTCTGTTTGTCAGCAAGATTATACACACACTTCATAAAACTTACTTGAGAGGATTGAGCACAAACTAAGAAAGAAAGAATCAAATACATGTTTCTCACAGATCTGGATAACTTTTATTAAAAGTGCAAACTGCACGGATAAGAAGGGAAATGAGAGGAATTAGGAGAATAAAAAGGCCCTTTAACAGCCCGACCCTTGATCATTTAACAGATTTTTTATGAACCAGATGGTTGTTTAATGAATACAATCAGTAGTTTTTGAGCCCAGTGTATGAGCTCCCCCCCATTCATCTCCCCTCTGTATTGTAATCTCATTAGCGCAAGTTATGCAATAAACTAATGAGCTCATACTGCTTCCTCTGGGACTGTGTGTGATGGATACAGGGAGAGAGGAGAAGCAGATAACTGAGGGAAAACTACTGTGGAAAGTGATGAAGGGGGCTTAAGAGGGAAACCCAAAGAAACAGCAAAGAGAAATAAGAGAAAATGGGAACATTTGAAGAAAAATCGTGTTTCTACAAAATTGAATGAACCTTACTATTAGTAATTGATTAATTAAGCAGTCAGTTACTTGAAAAAACAATTAAAGTAATTAAAGAAAATATAAAAACATATGTATATGTGATAAAATGTCATAACAATAAAAAAGGACCCTTAAATGTTACAGTAATGTAAGTACATGTTTCTGTGTTTCAGTGTTTATCACTGCGTCAGCCATGTCGGCTCCAACCCTCCCAGTTCCCGACTGTGTGTGAGAGAGAGAGAGACCCACGGTGGGGGTTTCATATGTGAAAGGGCGAGCAAAGACATCTGAGCACGTGCCACCTGTGTGTGCTTGTGTTTGTCCATGTGTCAGATTTAAGCCCATGTGACCACTAGCTGACCTCAATCTTTATGCAGAGAGCAGCTTAGTAAATCAGCGTGAGATTGGCCCCAACACAAAGAGGGATTAGCAAGTCTGCACATGATTGGACGCCTGCCCGATTGCTAACGAGACCCGAGACGGCAGCTGTTGACGGCCAGCGCCGCCACCACTGCTGCTGTTTATACTGATGTTGATCACCAGCTCTCCTCCTCTCTTCTTCCTTTTTCCTGATATCTCATCCCTGTTTCTTTTGTCTCAAATGAAACAATATCTTTCTTTTCTTTTTAGAAACAACTTCTCGCTCCACAGGCTACTTCTTTGCTCACCTCTGTGTTTAAAGGACCAGTTTGTGAAATGCCATTTTTAGTGTGAGCCATTTACCATTTAGCTTAGCTTAGCATAAAGACCTGAAACACAAGGAAAGGCCTCTCATGGTTTTGTCTAAAGGCTGCAGCTCTTGGACTCACAGCTATATCCATTTTCTTAATGTATGATAATCAAAAAAGACAAATAGGTCCCACTCAAATATTTAGACAAGCCATTACCAAAGTAAAGAGCGCTGTGGCCCATTTAGAAACCAGAAACTCTGAAATCTTCACTTTAATCATTATATAGGAGAAGGTGGTGTATTTCCTTGAAATTTTTTATTGAAAAAAAAAACCCACAAGTAACACAGAGCTATAAATTGCTAATGCTTACCAGTTACATGCTAGGGTGACCAACCGTCCTCTTTTCCCCGGACATGTCCACTTTTCACGTTCTGTCCGAGGCGTCCGGGGGGACTTTCGAGATGGATGAAAATGTCCGGGTTTTCCTATAGGCCTACAGAGGATCCATATCTGCAACGTCATCCCTGAACTGCTGTGCTGTAGGTGGTTGTTCAAGTCACTCTTAAAGCTCTTAATGAAATCTAGTACTGTGGCATTTCTCAGACTTAAGTAACCATGGAACAGAGAAAATATTCCCAATCATACTTTGACTGGGAGAATGGTGGCGTGCAGACAAAATGAATTGAGGTTAGAAACACCAAATGAGACAGCAGAAACCACTGCACAATACCTCACTGGTACCTCACTGGTAAGTTTTCTGATACAGATGAAGCATTATTTCTGTAACATTATTTAATTCCACAGGTTTTTAAGTTATTTTTTTGCACTTGTTGACTTGTAAAAGCCTATATGACATTTTTTATTTCACCATTCATTAACCGCACAGAGAAGGCATCTTTTAAATATATTAAAATTTTCTTTAAACAAACAGTATTATTAAAATTTTTCATGACTGGGCCAAGTGTCCTCTTTTTTGGAAATCAAAATATGGTCGCCTTACATACAGTATGCAAAGTGTCATGTCATGTGTGACCAAAACTCAACCTGCAACAGAAGAGCAGCAAATTTCAGTCAGAGTAATGAGTACGATCACAAACTAACCACCTCCTATTTACAGTTTTAATACACATGTTGTATAAATACATATTATTTTATAGATATGCAACTGTACATAGTTTCTATGAGTAATTTTCAAACTGACCTTCTGTTGTTGCTGCAGTCCACCAGGGGCCCCGGTCCCTGATTTACAGAAAGAAGGGAAGCAGAGAAGGCAGGAGGAAATGAACAATCTAGAGATACAAAGAATCATGAGAAAAACAACAAATATAACACGGACCACGACAGTATTTGCCACAAGTCACTTCCACCTTTAGTCAAAAGCATCCAGAAGTTGTAAAATAAAATTTCAGCAGGAGTTGTGGCTCCAAAGTCAGCATAGATTTTTGGGATTAGGGAACTAATGTTTTCAGGGACACAATAGTAGTGTTTAATAGTAAATAAAAATATGGTAAAGAGATCTATAATGTCAGTGAACTTATCATTTAAGATTGATGAACCCTTATATACGCCCACAGGCATCATCAGGGCTGATGCCCGTGCAGCGACCCTTTGGAAAACCTGAAAACTATTGTAACTTAAACCATGCCTGTTGATTTACGCTGAGGTGTTAAAATTGGTCATTAAGGGTATGGCGAAAGTCTTCAAATGTTGTCTCTCTTTTTGTTTCTTTTTGACCAAATCTTCTTCAGAATGTAAATTTTGAACACCTGTATGTGTGTGTTTGCTGCAGGTGCTGGCCACGGGTCTGTCCGGTCTGTACTCGTCTCTTCCGGCTCGGCTGCAGGTTTACAGCGAGGACTGGCACTCTCTGGACCAGGCGGACTGGCAGCAGGTAACAACCACAGCACTGGGGTGACAGGATGAAATCATGAATGAGTGAACCTGTGAGAGAAACCAAAAGTAGTGTCTGGACTTGTACCTTCGTGTGTGGGGGGTGTATTTCTGTTGGTGCCTGGGAGGTTTCAGTTTTAAGCCATTTAAGCAAAGTTTGTGGTTTTCCTCATTACTTCAGAGGACTGAAGATGAAGAGCTTCCACTTTAAGTACACTTAATCTGTACTATGCTCAAGCATGAATGCCTTCCTTCCTGACTTGGCCAGACAACTAATTTTCCAGTATATCGATGCAACACTTGTGTAACAGCTATGCAATGGTAATTAAATCTAACAAGTGATATGTGCAGTATAATATGCACAAGTATGCGTTAGATGAAAAATAAAACTATATTAATGAATCATACAAGTTAGTAACAGAATTAATGAGAATAAATGAATCAACACTTTGTGTTTGGGTCAGCAGGTTCCTGCTCTGGTCCACTTTTTGCACTCTCTGGACTTTTGTAGTGCTGTTACCAAGGTAACACACACACACACACACACACACACGCACGCACGCACGCACGCACGCACGCACGCACGCACGCACGCACGCACGCACGCACGACACTTTATTTTTACTCTGTAAGTGTAGATCTTTGTTTTCCTCAGGTGGCTCATCCGTCCATCCGCTCCCAGCTGCTTGGTTACATCTACAATGGCTTCCTTGTGCCTGTACTTGCTCCGGCTCTGCACAAGGTATCACATTTCATCACGACACTGTAAAAAATGTCCCTGATAAAGTGCTGTACAGGTACAGGCAGCAAACCGAAAGAAATCTACAACAGGAACAGTTGCCTGTTATATAACACAGAGTTTTAAAGGATGATACTGTCAGAGGTTTTGGTTACCAAACACAGTTATGTTGGTCTTCCTGCTGTAATAACCATAAATACTTTATTTATTCATGCAAAAACATTACACTTATACTCTATGGAGTGTAAGTTTGACCATACAGTAATTTCAGCTGTTTTTGTAGCCACTAAAGTTATTAAAGTGACCAGACAGGACATTTATTTCCTCATCTTTTACATTTAGTCACCAGTAAACATCTCACAGGAAAGCTATTAATACAGCATTTTACTGCAATTCCAGCAGGATAAAAACACCTGCATGAAATACCTATTACTTAATCACATCCTAATGTATGTGATCATTTGTCTGTCTGTGAGTAGCTGACGGTGGAGGAAGTGATGACTACCACAGCATACTTGGACCTGTTCCTGCGCTCCATCTCTGAGCCCGCCCTCCTCCAGACCTTCCTCTCCTTCATCCTGCTGCACACACATGACAACGTTCACATCCTGGACACACTGGTCAGCAGGGTCAACACACCTTTCCAGGTATCCACACAGTCATCTAATACAGCTGCTTCATGCTCTGTCATGCAGTAAATGACCTTTGACCTTTTGCATGTCCTTCAGTTGGGCACGGTGTCGCTGGCTCTGTTCAGGACTCTGATTGGGCTCTTCTGTGAAGATGTCATGCTGCAGCTGGTCTTCAGGTCAGTCTAACAGCAACTCACAGACACACATCTTTTAATTAGTGCTAATAAAATATTACAGTTTCACTAGAACTGGAACTTCACTGCAGAAAATGTATTATTTAGACGATCCATTTAAAACACCAGCAGCACAAACACTCTATCTATGATGGTAAGACCTCACTGATCACTGTCAGCTACAGCTTCCTTTATTGACTTACTATAACATTACTATAACATTTTAACATGGGGAAACTGCACCTGGATGCCAGTTGTGTATAACATGCTTGGACTGAATGTAACTGCTCTGTGTCTCCTCAGGTATTTGATTCCCTGCAGCCACCTGAGCAGGAAGCAGCGCTGCTTCTTGAAGCAGAGGGACTGTTACTCCTCCAGTGCTGCCTCCTTCCTACTGCTGATGCCCTCCTGGTGCCCTCTGCAGCTCCAAAACTCACTCACACACTCAGAGCACATCCACTGGCCCAAAGGAACCGGTCAGTATGTTAGCGGGTGGCTGCTTATTTATACATTAGCTTTGGCTGTACTGACCTGTTCCTCCTGAACCGTCTGTCAGATCTGTCAGTGTCAGACAGCGTTGGTTACTGTCGTGGTTCAGACTTCCTGATGGATGTAAACTACCTCCATTACCTCTGGGATGCCCGTCAGGCTATCTCCACTGCCCACAGGTTAGTGTGCCTTTCTTCTTCTTCTACAAAAAGACTATGGTTCAGCCTGGGTCTGATTACTAAAATTAAATGTGATTTGGGTTGTTTCTCATAACTGGTGTACATGCTGCATTGCACCACTTACTGGGAAACAAGCAGCAAACCAGAGTGTGAAACAGTGAAAGTGGTTCATAGTGTTATAGTGACATCTGCTGGTCAACATATGCTAATACATTTGTACTAAAAACCTTGATTGTTGTTATTGTATTCACTGGTGGTTTTAAATGGTAAATGGCCTGTATTTATATAGCGCTTTACTAGTCCCTAACGACCCCAAAGTGCTTTACACATCCAGTCATCCACCCATTCACACACACATTCACACACTGGTGATGGCAAGCTACATTGTAGCCACAGCCACCCTGGGGCGCACTGACAGAGGCGAGTTAAAGTTCATAGTTTTGCTTTTCAAACTAAAATTAGATAAGCGTGTACTGAAAACCAGCAAGGCACATCTAAGGTAGGAGAACTGAGACATTTGTGGTAATAGATAAATGTTGCCACAATAATGAGTTTGGTCTTTTATCTGATAGTGAAACCAAAATCAAACAAAAAAAAAAGCACTCCTTATCGTTGTAATCTCAGGTGCAGGAAACAGACTAACAAAAGAAACGAGAACAACAGCTTACAGCCACGCTAAGACTGAGCAACACTTTAAGTTACATGCTAATGCTTACTTGTTTATACTCTTTGTTTTGTGGGTTGGCATGCAAATATCTGATAATGGTTGGCTAATGGGAATGCCATTATTGTTTCAGATCTGAAAGTCTTAGTGTAAAAGTTTGCATAAATACATACTTTTAAGTCTCTGCGGGGGCAGACCGTGTGTGGGTGTGTACTTGCACTGGGTTTCATCACTTTGGGCCTCCATCCATGATCAATCCAGTGAATGGATTTGACTGGGATCTTAGTATTTATAATGTTAATTTAGAGCATTGCTGTGACAGAGCCCTGTGGTTATGATTTGGGAATTTTTCGAATTTAACTAAAAGTTATACACTGAGTAATTTCAGAGAAGTTTATTGAATCTATATTTTTTTTTTCTTTGTTGGCAGGTCTTGCCGTTTATGGTCGGCTTCTTATGATGGCATCAATCCTCCACTTCAAGAGTATCGATCTGATACACCTGGTAACAACATGGAAGATGAGGAAGAGTTCATGCAGCGCGTCAAGAGCGACTCCATCTGCTCACTGGTTATCAGTCCTCCGCCCTCTGCCCTCTCCCCTACACCATCCTCTTTAGATAACAGCCAAGCGGGCAGAGCCAGCTCCGCCCTTGAACTGGAGTGGGATGACATTTTTGCAGATGACAATCCCTTGCCTTCAGCTGTGGTAAACGTGGTGCTGGCGAATGGGGATGTATCATTGGAGGCAGATACATGCACATTTCCGCCAGCACCTCCCCCACTGCCTCCTCGACACATCCAGGAAATGCGGCGCAATGCAACCAAGCTGGTGCGCGGCTCTTATGTTGAAGAATCCGAGTTTCAGGATGACGTTCTTGTCTATGATCTCATTGCTAAAAAGGACGCAAAGGCAGCCATTTTGGATCGGATCATGCTGGCAAATCGCCAATCCCGTGGGAGCATCTCGAAAGGACAGCGAGTTTCAGCAACAGCGACAACATTAACAACGATGTTAACAACAACAGGAAGGACGGTTCTGGAAACTGTAAACAGCATTATGTCGGCGAGGAGGAGGAGCGAGGATGCAGGAAAAGAGGAAAGAAGAAGGAGTGAGGACTGTGAAAAGGAGATAGGGAGAACAAAGGAAGGAGAAGAAGAAGAAACCAAAAGGATATTTGGACACAGAAGGTCACTGGGAGATCAGCTCTTTACCAATGGCTTTAATGTAAACAATGACATTATCGACGAATGTGATGATGCAGATGATGATATATACATTACAGCTCGTGTCAGCCATACACCTGGAGCACATCAGCAACATGTACATGAAAGCATACAGTCACCCTCAACATGTTTAGTAAGAAACACTTTAACCAATGGCCATCATGGATCTGAATCATTTGACCGTCCCATATCTCCAAGCCTGCCTGACGACAACACAAACAACAATGACTTCCTGTCCCAATACTGTGAGCTCATGCTGTCATTAGGGGTAGAACCAGACTATGAGGACATCACAGAGGATATTGACACATTCAGGAAGCGTGTCCAAGTGCTAAGGCAAAGACTTGAAGAGGACGAGGAAGAGCTTTGCACTGACTTTGGTTTTAGCTCCTTTGGGGATGACGTTGGGGCAGAAGAAGAGGAAGAGGTGATGCGAGAGGAAGAAGAAGCGGAGAAGATCAGGAGCGACACAAAGAAAGGCGGCAGGAGACATCAAATTCCATTTACAGGTCTGTGCTTGTGTAACATTTAAAGCAGCTTCACTGATTTATTAACCTCAGTCACTATACACATTTTTACAAGACAGAATGAGAAAGTTTCTTTTGTGTCATATGTTCAGAATTTTTTCCAATTAACGCTTAACGTAATGCAGATTTGCAACATGGTAAAGTGGTCAAAAATAAATGTAGCCACTGAAAATACAAAAAAGCTGTTGGTTGGATGTCAGTTGTAAGACTAAAAGACACCCACCCCCCCCCACCCCCATTATTTTACACCTGATACAATGCATTTTCTCTTGACGTACACTAACCAGGTCCATTCATCAGTGTGCTCTTGTCTCGGCTGGAGAACCTTCTTGAAAACTCTATTGCTGTAAACCTGCTTGTGACAGGCATCCTGGCCCAGTTGGCATCGTACCCACAACCTCTCCTGAGATCCTTCCTGCTCAGCACAGACACACAAAACCAGCCTAACGTTCGCACACTTTACCAGGTAGGAGTCATACATCTGACACGACTCATGCAGGTCAGATTGGATTTTGTTAATAAAAATGTTATGTTCACTTTCATTCTGTAGGTGCTGGTGTCGCTGCATGCTCAGATAGAGCGCTATGTGATGGCCAGACCAGACTATCCTGCTCTAGTCACTCAGGCCTGGAGGTTCTTGTTGGCAAAAGACCAAGATGGCAAATTCAGAGGTTAATAAGTATACATATAAACAGGATACAAAACAACATATGTTAAAGTTAAAGAAACAAGTTAGATAGTCTGCTTTAAATGGACAGTGTGATGGACAAGAGCAGGCAAGAGTCTCCGTCAGCTATGCTGTTTGCAGATGACATAGAATTGAATTGAATTGCATGGAGGACAGTGGAATATTGAATGTAGATGAGTTTAAATAGTTATAGTCAATCACTCCAAGCAACAGTGGGTGTGGAAAAGAGCTGAAGAAGCTCAGATTGGGCAGAATGGGGATTTATTTGGCAGAAAGGTAGCAGGAGGAATAGAAATGAAAGATTCAGGGCAGACAGATTCAGGAGTGAGGATATGGAGAAACAGCTCAGGTTGGACAAAGTAAGAATGACTGAATGTCTTTAAGCAGCTGAGGAGCTGTGATGGCATGACAGAGGATAAAAAAGACAAAGAGATGATCCACTGTGAAAAGTTGTACTTAACAAAACGTAAAAGAGTTGTTAAGTCGACAGCTCTTAATTTCACCAACTTATTCTGGCCATGCCAGCAAACATCCTAATGTTGCGGCCTTGTGGCCTTCATCAGAGAAGATCTGGACTAGAATACATTTGTGAAACTGAGAATTGTTCATTTTTTACTCTTGGGCAGTCAACACTGGAGCCACAGATGAGTACATCAGCTTTTCTTAGCACTGATAGCGCTGGGCAAGCCTCTAACTAAGCTTGAAATACATAGTTTGTAGATGTTGTCAGGCCACCTCTGAAAGTGTGAACACAGTCATTTTTGGAAAGTTACAAATAAAACGTTTTTCAGACGTCAGTTTATGATACTTGTGTGTGTCCCGCAGAGTGCCTCCAGTCTCAGGGCGGTGACATCATCCTGGATCCATCGCTTCCCAATGGCTCTGTGAAGAACGCTCTGCCTTTGCCTCCTTTCAGTGTCTTGCCCCCCTGTCCTACTATTTCCCCTCAAGCCAAGAGCCGAGTCTTTGCCATTATCCTGTACGCTGAGTTCCTGAAGGAGTTGGCTGCCTTGGCTCAGGAGCACAGCATTGCCTTGGACTGTTATTCTGAGGAGTAACAAATGCAAACCCCTAGTTCAACTGTAAAAATCTTCCTCCCAGATTGCTGCTGATAAGATCAAGGATATGTTGTGACCACCAGCAAAAGACTGAGCTCAAGGAGAAAACATGTAGCATGAACTACTTTCCTCATCGAGGATTAATATAAGCGAATAATTTAAGTAGTATAAATATTCAGATGTTGTGTATGTTCCTGGCAGCACTTGAAAATGTTGATGATTTTGAAGAATCAGTACTGAGTTTTATATATTTGTGGGATCCGTGAAAATAGTTTTCTACCATATTTTCTTAAATCTTTGCATGGTTTTGTTGAGATGGAAAAAGTTAGACATGTGGTTCAAAATGCAGAGGACCTTTTTATTCCTCCTCCTCAGGAAGGACAAAGTGCTGCAGAAGCTGGTTGACAATAACTCTTACCTTACATGCACTGAAGTGACTTTGCATCAAATAGATCTAAACTTTAATTTATTTTATTGTGTTTTCATATCCAGTAAACAATTCACTAATATTCAAAATGATTCATTAAAACTGTTAATGCGAGACAATTTTTTCTTACTTTTAACACCAGCAATTTTTTTTCTCTTATAAAAGGAGGCAGTAAAATTTAACCTTGCTTATATTCCCAACATATTCTTCGTTTTTTTTTTTTAACGTGTATGGTAGTTCAAAGACATTTCTAAACCTCAAATATCCATCCAACATCTGACATAGCAGCTATGAAAATAAAAAATGGACAGAGCTTCAGAGTCTGAAGTTAAAGCAGACCTGTCTTAAATCTACATTCTTTTTACTGACCACCAGGGGGCGGTGCATGTGGTTGCAAAAGGATTTCTGCTCCTAAAGAAATCAATGGGAAACCAGCTCTTCGCCCTTATTTCACTAAACACTTCCTAATGAATTTATAAGCTCATTCACTAATTTGTTGTGATAACGAGTAAAGCAGTAAGTTCCTTTTGCAAATGATTATTATTATGCTCAGAAAAGATGATTATGGATGTTAGTTTGCTCATTTACTAATGACTAGTCATTATTTAAAGAGTATGTGATGTTCCTTGGTTTTATAGTCATAGTCACATCCACACCTTTGGTTCCTGTGATTAATTATAAAACCCTGAAACATTGACTTTGAGGCTTCGCAAACTGATGGGCAAAGTCACAGTGCCTACATTTATCTTTTATACCATCTGTGGTTTGTCAGGGACAAACCCTCATCTTGAATCAGAGACACAGATGTCATAAAAGACGAGTGCAGACAATGTGGTCTGTAAAGTCCCAGCCTTGACCTGACTGTATGTACTGTCATCATCTGAGTGTTTTTCAAACTGTATGTGATAAACGAGGGGTGGATCTGACTGAGAAAGAGTCAACCTGTCAACAGGTCAATCATAAAATGCACTTCATCTTCCATTCAGTATGACCTGATGACCAACGATTGTGACAAAGTCATCAGGGAAGTGTTCCCAAGGTTACAGAGCAAGGAAGCCTTTCCCATAGATGTATATGCAACCAGTTGTCTGAAGGAACTGCCTAGTGTGTCACCACAACAAGAAAAATGGAAGAGAAGGTTAAAGGATGGTAGAAGTTTTACTTGTTTTTTTTAGTGAGGTTTTGCTAAACCTGATCATGAGTAAAAATGAAAGTTATTTCAACTACTGTATGTCAAGATTAAAGGCCTCACACAGGATGGAAATCCCAGGCAGGAAAGTGTAGCTCATGAGAGAGATTATATCAGATTTTTTACTTCCTGATGACACTTCTCTATAGCACGATCAGTTGCACTTCATAGCATAGCGGAAAATAAGGCTGTAGTGTTAAAATAAATAGATGTTTCATCAGTACTGTCTTTATTATTCTCATTAGGGTCCTAAATATCAGTACTAATATACAAGGCACTGAGTGTTGTGAGATTAAGCACCTTATTTGTCCTTACTGTTGTTTTATTGCTGTTTGTATTTACCAGACTGGCTCATGTGCCTGACAAAGCCATTCTAGGTGTACAGTAGTTCATTTTTTGCTTATGTGTATTTTTTGAACATTTTGAACCAGATGGAGGAAATTTTAATGCTGAAATTCAAACAAAGTGAGTGACAATCCTTGAAACAGTATCTAAGGTGTCAGGTTGCTCTGATCAGTTGTGTCTTCCTGTTTATGTGTTTTTGCTGCTGTCTTCATATGCAAACGAACACACAGGTAAAGTATCAAAAGCCTTACTTCAGCTGACTAAAATATTAGTGCAATATATAATGATGCAAAGTCAGTGGATTTTGATTTCCCATGCAGATATCAGATGTTATTGTTTCTTTTAAACCTCTGTGAATATGTTTTGTTGTTGTTAATATAACATTTTAAACTTCATGTTTGTCTTTAAGGTGAAATTTTTCCACGTTGTGATGCTCCTGTGCTTTTGTCTTTGCTGTGTTGTTTGGGTTTGGGTTCCTGCTTACATAGTTTTCAGGTGGCAAACATAATCACCGATCTGACTTCAAACACCAAGAAACCATGTCTATTTTTAAGCAGTAATAGATGAGGTCTGTATGTAGAAACCACAGTTTCACCCATGTGCACACTGCCTGTGAATGCATCTATCAGATTCTCCTCCAACTGAGAACTGTTATTCAAAACCTATACTAATAAGTTTATTGACAAAAGAATTCCCTCATCCATCCAAATCATTGAATTCAGACCTTTCAGTTACTTCATGGGCACAGTTGTATAGAATCAAACACCTAGGCATGCAGACCACCTCTACAAACACTTGAGAAAGAATGGGTTGCTCTCAGGAGCTCAGTGAATTTCAGTGTAGTAGTGTGATAGGATGCCATCTGTGCAACAAGACCAATTTCCTTGCTACTGAATATTCCACAGTCAACTGGAAGTGATTGGGAATGTCAGAAACACAGTCACAAAGTGCTAGGCCACATAAAGTCAGTGGGGTCAGGAGATGCTGAGGCACATAAAGCGAGCCCAGGTCTCCAACCTTCTGCAGAGTCAATTGCTGCAGAGTCCAAACGTCATGTGGTCTTCAGATTAGAATGGGTTTCTATGGACGAGCAGCTGCATCCAAGCCTTACACCTGACAACCTGATTGACCTGCACAGAGTCCTGACCTCAACACAAAAGAACAGCTGTGGGATGAATTGGAGTTGAGACTGTGAGCCAGGCCTTTATCAGTGTCTGACCTAACAAATGTGCTTCTGTAAGAATTGTGAAAAATTCCCATAAACAGAATCCTAAACGTGGGGAAAACATTCCCAGAAGAGTTGAAGCTGTTTTCGTTGCAAAGGGTGGGCCAACATCATATTAAACCCTTTCGGATTAAGAATGAGATGTTAGTCATATGCCTGTGAAGGCACATAAGATAATACTTTTGGCAATATAGTGCACCTGACTGAAGTCTGACTCTGATGCTGATTTGCATTACTGCTGGCACAATCTGGTGAACGTTTGCTCAGATCTTATTCTTCTTGTCACCAGTGTCCATCATCTGCTTTGAAATAAATTATTACCAAGATGATACAACTTGACACAGAAAAGATTTTTGTTTTACGTCTTGGTCATTTCTTCTTGTGGCATAGATAACGTTTGCATTTTAGCTTTTGCAATCAGTGATAAAGTCTGGTGCCTAACACAAAGGAGAGATTTTGCACTTACATTGTGCAGCAAGTTTTTGCTGTATTATCACATTATCAGGTCCTGCACATTTATAATCTGGTAACACTTAAGTCGTGTACATATAGGCATGTATATATTTAAACGAATTACTCAACATGTAGCAGTGTTAAAAGGTGAGACCAATCAGGGAATCGGAGGAAGACAGACACAGGAAGTTAAACATTACACATGAGAAAAGCTAACCTTCAAAGTAAGATCTGTTGAAAATAAGTCATGGAAAAGTCAGAGAACCACTAGAGTAAAAAGCATCCTCTGGATAAACATTTGAAATCTGTACAAAAGACCTGTAACAAAAGCTGCAATTATCGACCTCATGGTGGCCCTGATGTCAAAGTCAAAGCTTTACGTAAGTCTGCAAGCAATAACAAGTCAGCTGATGTAGTTCACTGTGGTTTAGCTAGTTCCTGTTTTTGTATATACAAGACTTACTGAATGAAGAGTTCAAGCAGACATCAAGGTGACAGCTGTCAGTCACGAGGAGAAAATTGGTTTGAAATTTTCACATCAAATTTGTCAGAGAAGAACAACAAAGCATTAACGGATGATGCCAACGATGACACTTTGCCTGCTGTTGTGGGTTCTTGGTGAGTGAGTTAAAACTGTGCGTGTGGTTTATTGTTTTGCTTTTAAATGGCATCATGGTAGGGTGTGTCTCAGTCATGATTTGTATTGATGGGGTTTCAAAGGCAGGATCTGGGGAGATGTTGATCATTGAACGTACCTTTGACCGTCGGGAACATGTAGGTTATATTTAATCTTTGCGACTTCTAAAGTTCAACATTTGAGCGTGAGCAGATCTTTTTTTGTGTATTAGTGTGTAGTTTCAGATCTGCACAAGTTCTATCTCGGTTTACCTGAAAGAACCACCTTAAAATGCTTTAAAAAGTGTTCTTTTTGGCTCATTTGCCAATACTTTTCAAAGAGCTCAGACAAAAGAAACACTTATAATAACTGTTGTTAATTATTGGTGAATTAACATTTATTTAACCTTTCATGTGGTTTACTAGTAAGAAAAACTACAATTCTAACTATTAATGCTTAATTAATATATGATAGGTTATATGTGTTATCAAAAATAATTATATGCAGTATTTTAGACATATTGTAGCTGTAAAGAGACCATTTCAAATAAAGTACATGTTTTATACGCATAAAAAAGAAAGTAAAGGCTTTCTCAAGATTTTACATATCAGGGCATAATAAAAATCACGTGGTCCTCGGCAAGTCATAACATTTTTGAGACACATCCTCAAATGAACAGTACGTGACATTACACTATGTCACTATTTATACAACAAAACCTAAACCAAAATACAGAAGTAGAGTGTGAGAAACAGCTCACCGAAAGCTAGGAGCTGTATGTAAGCGATAAATAAAAACTGAAAGTAATCATTTGTTATTCTCATAAACATTTTTATTCACAACAGAACATAGAAAATAGATCAAATATTTAAACTAAGAAAATGTAGCATCTTAGGAAAATATACTGGCTTATTTAGAATTTGATGGCAGCAACATGTCTCAAAAAAGTTGCAAAAACATGCAACAAACTAAAAGTAAGTGTTACTGGTAAATGCACTGGTTCTTATACAGTGCTTTTCTACTCTATCCCAATGGTAGTCATCCTAGTCATCCTAGAACACTAGCTTCGAGGCGAGACCGTGAGAGAAACATACAAGAGACACTTCTCAGACTCTATAGGCCACTGCACACTATTGGTGGAGTAATGATTTGGTCTCATTTCACAGCCAAAGATAAAGTTTAGCTGAAACTGGGTCATGCAGGTGGAATCTGGTCCCAATCAGATCAGCAAATCTGCAACATGATGGCTGAAAAAGAAAAGACTCAAGTTCATTTAACACAATTTAAATGCTCTGGAGGGATCTAAACAGAGTCGTGCAGAATTGAATACCCACAAACCTCAATGAACTAAAACAACATGAGTGTTTTAGTTCGTGAGCCAAACATCCTCGACAGCAATGTGAGAGACTAATAAAGTTACACCGAAAATAAGTACTTCAAGTTATGGCTGTTAAATGTGTTTCTACAAGCTAATGAACTGTGAATATTTGTTTTTCACTGCTTCTTCATTTCGTTCAGCATTTGTTGCTGTAAATGATGAATTTTCTTTCAGCAAAACTATGCTGCGTCATGAAGTTTTCATTAATGACCTGTGATCCTTTCCTTAGCGCCAGACTGTCAGACACCGGTGTTTTATGAAACACAAAGCACCCTGTACCACCAGCCCTGGGAGATGGGTATTTTAACCCAACCTGCAATATTTTCAAAACCTGAATCAAGTAAATGAGAAGGAAATAAATAGTAACTGGAACTTTAGAGTTCACCCCTTCATGCTATCCAGACAGGGGGAGTTTCTGCTGACTTTCATAAAAGGTTGATATGAAGATAGAAAACACTGATATGCAGCCCTGTGACCTCATACAGATGTATTACTATTATGCAGTATCATGTATATGTTATTGGGTCATTATCATTGATTCATTCATTTGTCTATCGCTTTATTGTTTCGGCTGGATGTTATTTTAAATACGTTATAATGTGTGCTAGCTTTATATCTTTAGCATACACTGTAATATATCAGCACATGCCCAGGAGACACGGTCAGTTGGCTGTACCAACTCCTGTGGCTCCTTTCAGTGTGGAGGAGTAGAAGCTTTACTCTGCACCCCTTTCAAATGACCAAGATCTTCTCTCTGTTGTTGTGCTGAGCCCAGGATTCTTCAGAGGAAACTTGTATCCATGATGTCATTCTTTCAGTCATAACCTACAGCTTTGATCATAAGGAAGGAAAGGAATGTAGAATGACCTGAAAATCATCAACCTCAGTTTTCACACATAGCTCTCTCTTCACCACAGCAAACTGGTATAGAGTTGCACTGGTCCACCAGTCAGTTTCCTGTTCCACTCTCTAGTAATTCATGAACAAGACTCTGAAATACTTAAACTCCTCGGCTTGGGGCAGCAGCTATTTTTTTTTAAAATGTTCATTCAATTGATGAGGATGAGTTCCTGCCCCAAGTGGAGGAGTTCAAGTATCTCGGGGTCTTGTTCGCGAGTGATGGGAGAAGGGAGCCGGAGATCGACAGACGGATTGGGGCTGCAGCTGCAGTAATGCGGACGCTGCACCGGTCCGTCGTGGTGAAGAGAGAGCTGAGTGTAAAAGCGAAGCTCTCAATTTACCGGTCGATCTACGTCCCTACCCTCACCTACGGCCACGAGCTGTGGGTAGTGACCGAAAGAACGAGATCGCAGATACAAGCGGCAGAAATGAGCTTCCTCCGAAGGGTGGCTGGCCTCTCCCTTAGAGATAGGGTGAGAAGTTCGGCCATCCGGGAGGGGCTCAGAGTAGAGCCGCTGCTGCTCCACATCGAAAGGAGCCAGCTGAGGTGGTTCGGGCATCTGACAAGGATGCCCCCTGGGCGCCTCCTGGGTGAGGTGTTCCAGGCATGTCCCACCGGGAGGAGGCCCCGGGGCAGACCCAGGACACGCTGGAGAGATTATATCTCTCGGCTGGCCTGGGAACGCCTTGGTATTCCCCCGGACAAGCTGGAGGAGGTGGCTGGGGAGAGGGAGGTCTGGGCCTCTTTGCTTAGGCTGCTGCCCCCTTAACCCTGCCCGGATAAAGCTGATGAAGATGGATGGATGGATGTTCATTCAATTGTTTAAATGCTATATATATTTGGGGCTACAACTTTACTTGATCGGCTATTTTTGTTTGTCTATCCCTGAAGGTACTGGAGTTATTTTATCAGAGGGAGATGATCCACCTTTTGATGATGAAGATTATAGTTATTTTTTTACTTCTGGCGAAATAAATTCAACCTTAATAATAAATGACACTGAACTGCTGCCCGCTCTACTGTCAGGTAATATCTGTCTCCTCTGCTCTATGTCTGTAGTTCTAATTTGTAAATATCTTTACAGGATGCTGACTCCAAACATACTGTACTTCTGACATAGTGAAATAGACTGCTTAACAAATTTATTAGACCATAAGTTTATGAACAGTATTTGTAATTACCAAAATAGTTGTATCTGTTTCTGCAGTGGTTAATCCATCACTTTGTGGATGCTCTTTAATCAAAATTATATTTTGATGGCAAAATCAAATCAGGTCCATAAATATTTGGACAGAGACAACTGTTTTTGTAATTCTGGTTCTGTACATTACCACACTGGATTTTAATGAAACAGCTCAGCTATAAATATAAATATCCATCCATCCATGCTTATCCTTGTCATGGTCTCGGGGGGCTGGAGTCTATTATTACTATTTTTATTGAATGTTTAATGAGTAAATGTAACAGCTTAACCTTAGTTGTTATTTCATTTTCAGATTTTGGCAGTGGTGAAATTCCAGAAAAAGACACGACAGGCTCCTCAGGTAATGTTAGCCTGCTCTGGCCTGTGTTAACAATTCTTGGTTGTTTAAGTCAGAAGTGGATGTTTTGAATGGGATTGGGGTTCAGTTTGAAGGCTTACTAACCATGGTGTACTTATTAATTATAAGTAAGGGATGGGATGTAGATTGCCCTGGAAATGATCAAGTTCACTTTCCATGCTTATTTCTCTCTTCACCATGACAAACTGACAAAGTGTTGCACCAGTCTGTCAGTCAATCTCTGGCTCCACTTTCTGGTCATTCATGAACAAGACTCCAAAATTCTTCAACTCTCCCCCTTGGAGAACCAACTAATTTTTAACCTAGAGTGAGCACTTGACCCTTTTCTGAGAAGCATGCTCTCAGACTTGGAGACTCCTATCTGGATATTGATTTATATTTGTGTTAGACACCAAAGACCTGGTTCCCCAAGTGCATCTATTGATTTTTGAGCATCGCAGGACACAAGGGTGAACTAAAAGAGGCAACTTTAGTGCGCTGTAGTAAAACATACTAGAAACGAAAAGTAGAAAACTAGAAACTAACAGCGAGGAACTAAGACACTGCGAAACTAAACTGGGAAGCTAGAAAACATAACTGTGAACAGAGAACTGTAAAGTTACCAGAACCATAGAAGAAAAACACATCACAGTGAGGGTACAACACAACACAGAGCACGGCAAACACAGGCCTTAAATACTCACTGGAGTAATCAGGGAATGGGAGACAGGAGAAAAACACAGCTGGGAGAAATTAGACCTAACGAGACAAGGGAAGCAAAAATAGAAACACTGACATGAGAAACGGACTTTCAAAGTAAAACAGGAAACACGACAAGCACAGAGTAAAACTGAACAAAAGAAACACGGAGCACAGAGACAGGAGTGACATCAGACATGACCGGGGAACGAGATAAATTATAATAATACATAATCAGGGAATATAACTTAAACAGATACAAAACACTGGGTCACTGACGTCCATCTTCAAGGAAACGAAGTCCAGACACTTTTCTTTCCAAGCTCCTTAGACTACGATGACCTGAATGATTGAGAACATTCACAGACAATAGGCACTAAACTACTCTTCTACCAGCCTGCATGGTTTTAACCTGGAATTATCCATAGGCATTCTTGGCATGGATCATGCCAAATTTGTACTTTTCACCTCAGTTTTAAAAATTTGGGGGAAATCAGGAGTTGTGAGATAACTAGAAAGGACTCACCTTGTAACCTTCCTAGAAAGGTGATGATGTCTGATGCACTTAAAAGCAAATTTCTATCACAGGCACATAAGGTTCTCACGTACCTACGTACCTAAGGTAGAATTGCACTTCCAATTTTCCTTAATTTCCAGTGTCAACGAAAGCTGCTTCACAAATTTTGGCTTACTGTCAGCTATTAGGTGATTCTCTGTGGTTCCATTAGGTCTTTTGCATAACCTCTGAGTTTCTTCCCCCTTCTGAAAGCTTCGAGCTAGCTCAGAATTAGGCTGTTTTTTCTGCTAATGAGGAAATGTTGTTTTGCATGATTGCTTTCTATCTCTCTTCGCAGCTCCCAGAAACCATGGACTGAAAACAACTGGTGCTGAAAATGCTGACCTCTGTTCCCTTGGCCTGAGCTATGTTCTTTTAGCTTTGTGTATGCTAGTATAAAAAAATGTTTGTTTGTTTTTTTCTTTTGAAAAGTGTGAGCTGCTTGTAAATACACAGGAAACCTGTTCACCCCCCCACCCGCAAGTTTTATCATCCTGCTCTTACTGAGTAGATTAGTGGTTTGATTGTTAAAGTGATTACTTCTGTGTTTCTCGGCAATGAGCTTCTGGTATTCAGCATCTGCAACCACAAATCCCCTAAGAGCGAGGTGTTCTATTTTTTTTTCAGATGAATAAGCCATTAGAAATAAAACAATCTTTATTTTTCACCAATTCTAACCAAGAAAACTTCAAATTAGCACATAAGCTGCAAACACCTGACATATAAACCATGAAAACTGTGCCTTCTTTATTGGTGCAGTCACCTTTTCCAGGTACGCAAATTTCAGGGTTGAATCCCCCAGTTGCCATGATTGTAATTACTCATGCATGCATGTGGTATATTTTAAATAACTCACTGACATTTGCGTGTGTGCAATCATCTTGTACTGGCAAGGGTTTGAAACTCAAGTTGGATCCTCAGAGTACACAAACTGAAACCTGCTAGTTTCAAAGTGCAGGTGAGCTGCTGTAGAAGCAACAACCCATTGTTAGGTGTACATGAAAACAAATGAGAGAAGAAGATGTGTGACTTGCAAAGCCCTTTTAAACTTGTAGTAAGTAGTAAGTCTAGATTTAAATACATACAGGGTTTAAAATGACTTTAAAGTTCAAATGTCCTCAAGACTGCCCTGCACAGAGTCCTGACCTCAACCCAACACTTCTGGGATGAACTGAAGCGGAGACTGTGAGCCAAGTCTTCATATCCAACATCAGTGTCTGACCTCACAGACGCACTTCTGGAAGAATGGTGAAAAATTCTCATAAACTCTCCTAAACCTAAGTTGAAAATGTTTGGGCCAACATCATATGAAACCCTGTCACTCCAGTTCACATGCATGTGATGGCAGAGAAGTAAATACTTTTGGTTATATAGTGTATGTAGATCTGACCACTGTGCTGTTAATACTCATGGGAAATAAAGGAACAGCTCAAAGAACAAACAGTATAAATTCACTTTGTGTCAGGGCTGGCTCTGTGACCCAGCGCTTTCAGTTGGTTTTGATCTCTTGTTATATTTTGAAGATAATGTGGAGTTTGTGATTATTAATTGGCCGTGAATTTTAGTTTAGTCTGTTTCACCCAGGCCTTCTGTGCTATTTGTTATGTATTTCTTGTTTGCGTGTTTCATGTTGTCAAGCCTGTGTCGTCATATCTACGTCGCTCCATGTTTCCTGTTTTATTTTGAAAGTCTTGTGTTTCTTTCTTTAATGTGTTTAGTTTTACTCTTCTCCTGTGATGTTGTTATGTTCATTTGAGTCAGCTGTTTCCCCGTGTGTTTCCACTTCCCCTGTGTGTATTTAAGTCCTCCTTCTTCCTTTGTTCTGTGTCAGGTTGTCAGTTTTCCTGCCCTCCGTGTCACTTCAGGTTTCCAAGATTTTCATGATTTGGATAATGCACCATGTCACACAGTGTCACAGGGATCTCAATCCAATAGAGGACCTTTGGGATGTGGTGGACCATGAGATTTTCATCATGGATATGTGTAACTGTGTGATGCCATCAAGTCAATATGAACCAACATCTCTCAGCACGGATTCCAGGACGCTATTAGTGCCATGAAAAATTAAAGGGGGTTAAAGCAGTTACAGTATAGCAAGGTGTGCTTAATAAATTGGAAGGTGAGTGTAGGTGGTTCAGGTTTAGTATAATAAATCCATATTTCTACATAGTTTCAATTTTCATAGTATTTGGTACGATTACGTTTGATTCAGTTTTATGTATACATCTCCAGTTCACTACAACAGTTGACTAAAGTGAGTTTATACTGGAGGATAAAGACAACAGGCACTTGGTGACTGTGGAGAGGAAAAACTCCATTTTAACAGGAAGAAATCAGCAGTATCAGGCTCAGGGAGGGGCAGCCACCTGCTGCAACTGGTTGAGGAAAATATTTGAAAGGGACAAAGTCTATGTCCCAGTCAGTTACATTATGAGGTAAGTGTTTATCACCCCAGGTAAAGTTAGTAAATTTAAGCTAGGGCTTCCAAAGGACTTGAAAGAATTCATCCAAGAATTTCCATTAGATGAACAGAAGAGGACCAGAAGATACTGAATCTGGTTGTTGACTGTTAGTCTCAGTAATAACTCACAAAGAATGAAAATCAATACTGATAAAATGCAAACAAGACTTTCAAGTTAGCTCTCAGAACTGTGCTCTTCTAGTTCATACAGTCACCACAGGTATGTAAAGGTCCAGGGTTTGAATCCCACAGTTTCCACCAGAATAATGATTCATGCGTGTGATATTTTACAAAGTGCTCGTTGACATTTGCGTGCCATCTGCTCGGACTGGCAAAGGTCAAAAGCTGAGTTGGTCCTCAGAGTATGCAAACTGAAACCTCTTGGTTTCAAGGTGTACTGGAGCTGCTGTAGAAGCAACAGGTTCTGACTGTGGCCAGCTAGCCACAAATAGGCCATGTGTGTCATTTTCACAACTAGTGAAGAAAGAGTTAAAATGTAGTCATGGTGAGATTCAATTAGTTACTTTGTCGGGTTTTCTTCATACAAAGCAACAAAAAAAATGTTTGCTTTATATTCTTTCTACATCTCATCAGCTGTATATGTCTCATAATATTTATTTATTTTTATAACTACTCATTGTTATGTACACCTCTGTCTCCTGAAATATTTACCATCCAGTTACTGAGCTGACTATCGTTCTTTTTAACCTGCTCTCTCCTCGCTGACTCACGCCTTGTGCTGATTGGTTGCAGGAAATCATGTTCATGCTGGTTGGCTCACCTCCATCAGCTCCAGCATTATTCCTCACTTGGTCTTTGCTGTCTTGTTTATCACTTTTGAGGTGAGCTCGGACTTACCAGTAGTACTATTTTCATTGATGGTTGTCAGTAATATTAGTTGGGGTCAGTGATGGGAATAACAAACAAATCGTGGCAGGATCAGCCTGATGTTATTTGTATCCCGCTGTAACTTTACTGTATAAAGAGCTAACATCTCCAAAATGTCAGGAGTAGTTAGTCATTACAACAAGTGTTTGTGAACTAAAAATCAAGAATGTGGGATACTGTTTGTCCGTGATTTGGAGAGCCCAGCGCTGCTCCCGACGAAGGGAAACCAATTCTGCAGGGGAGACCTACCTCGGCACTTGTGCAGGTGAAGCCAAAGGGAAGATATGCTTCACCATATTTTCTAGTCTTTGGCTTAGAATGAAGTTGGTTTGGAAACATATTCAGCGATGCTTCATCTCCTGCTTTGCGTTTGTGTTGGAGCCCCGTCAAAAAACCTGTCCATTATGCTAGCAGTGTCCAAGCACTGTTTTTGTTTTTTTTTCCTTTTCATACCGCGGCCCCCTCCTGCAATGGTTCTGTGCGCCCTCTAGGGGGCGGGCCCCACACTTTGGGAAGGTCTAGTCTAGCACAACACCTGGAGCTAAGGGGGCAAAACAATCGCATGAATGTTGCTGTATGACTGACAAAGAATAAAGTAGTCGTGGTAAGCCAATCACATGACCACTTAAAGACAAAGCAACAAGGTGACATATACCAGTTTTTAAATTGTGTTGATAGGCCACGTAAAACCAGTCATGATAAACAATATATACACTGTGTTTTTTCCTCAATAGTTTTGTCACATTTACTGTCTAAGGACAGTGCTAGCAAGCACTCTGTGCTTATGAGCAAAAAAAACAACAAAAATAAATAAAATGGGGAAGTCTTAGGAGTGACGGCGAGAGAGAGAGAGAGAGAGAGAGAGAGAGAGAGGAGTGGCACAAATAATTTGTGTGGCATCTTATTGAATGAAGAACAGCTGATTGTTCTGTAAATAGTTTGAAATGGTTATTTAAAAAATCAAGGTAAAAGGTAAATGGGGGGTAGGTGGGAATAGATGGGAAGAACAGCAACAGCAACAGCAATTGGTAACCAACATTAACCACCTCATGAAGCCTTGACTTCAAACTCTCTGTTGTGATGTTTTGATCTATTGCCCCAGAATGAAAAACTGCCATGGAAGGAGAGCGGGGAGTTTTGGGGGTTTTAGTGAATGAACTGAAGCTTCTTTCCTCTGACAGGGGCAACATCAATGTTAGAAGTCAAAAATTAAATAAATTAAATAAAAAACAAGTCACTTCTTTAATAAATATCTTATTATTTTTGTCAATTGTGTATAAAAAGGCGGCTGGGCAGTGTTTCAGGCTAAGGATATTACTTCCTTATATCAATGACACAGTATTGTTGTTAAGAATATTTTTAAGATTTCAAATGTTGCTGAAAATGAAAGCGAGCTGACATGATGTACCGTTTTTAATCTTTCAGTTTCCTCCTCAAATACCATGTCATGACTGCATCTGTTTCCTGGGGGCAGTTGTGGCTCAGGAAGAGGTTTAGTGGGTCGTTTATCAAATTACATGGTAACGTATCCTTGCAGTGCGTGTGTGTTAAGACAAGGTGTTTTGGTTTAGAAGTCACTAAATGGGCATAATTGGGTGAATGTACTGAAAGCACTTTGAGTGTGCAGTTAGTTAGAGAGGAAAAGCAGCAGTCTATTTACAATATGATTACATTATACTGTGAGACACTGTGTCTGTACATTTCTTTTTTGTTTTCTTTTTTTTTGCCTGTTTTGTTCGGTACTTTAGCAATCAGAATTATTGTCTGCCAAAAAAGATGCCCAGCGGATTTGTTTTTCCAAGTGGGTCATTATGGCTTTACATTGGTATATTGGTCCATTTGATTGATCTTTATTATTGTTTTTATTATTATTATTAATAATAATTTATTTATTTTTAGTTATTAGAGACTGGACAGACATGAATGGGGGATAGGAAAGGGAAAGAAAGAAAAATAGGGGGGAAGAGGGTCAGTGAGAGAAGACACTAAAAAAGAATCCTCCGGATCACCTGTTGGAACAAAAAAGAAAACAAGCAAAAAGAGAACAACACAGCAGGGAGACCACAGCAACAACCAAGGTAAGTAGAGTAACAGTAAATAATAAATATTGAATGTTACTGAACAGCACACAAGACCGACGGTGCACAGTATGCTTTGAGGCAGCAGCCAAAGAAGATATAGTGTTTTTCTGTGAGCGCCCGTGTGAACACCTGCTGTCACAACCTCAAAAGGTTTCTCCATGACACTATCTGCTAGAGGGTGTGGGGAGTCATAGCCCTGTCCCCCAGGGCATGAAGCAGGTATGGTGGAGATCCAGGCCCCAGACATCCAGAGGCCCCCTAGAGTGCGAGAGTCCAAGCAGAGATACGTGGGGGGTGGCCCTGCCGAGGGTGCCCCGACCCCCGGAAGGGGCCTGACCAAGCCACGGGCGCCAGGATCCACCAACACATCGATGGACGAGGGCATCAGCCACCGCCAGGGAGTGTGGTGAGGGGAGATATAGGCCTCCACACCTGGGGGGGTGGGGGGCTGAGATGTTCCCAGAGAGGTGGAGTCCAAGACCCGACCTGACATGTTTAAACCATGTTTAGCACAGCGGCTCAAATTTCATCTGAAATTACTGATCTTGATCTTGCTCTGTCTCTCATATTGTTGCCATCCTTTATCAGTGTCATCTTTGCAACATCAGTGATGTCTGTGCTGTAGTTTTGTGTAACTTCTCCCTCGTGTGGTTAACATTAGACATCACATGAGAATCACTGTGCGAAATCTGACAAGACACGCAAGTTGAAAACTATTGTAAGCCACAAAAAGCTTGAGACATTCAATAATCTGGATCAAAACATTGAGACTGTGGTTAAAAAAATGGGACAAAAGCTGCAAATTTAAAGCATCTAATGCACCAAAAGCTGGATTTCAAACACTTTAGGCAATCGTTTCCCTTTCTGGAGTTTGTGTAAGCATTTTTTAAAATGCTATATGGTGTGTCGTGGCTTTAAACCAGTGAAAATTAACACTAAAGAGGTCCTGCCGATGTGTTTCTGAGGTGAGAGGCCAAAACTGAGCTAGCATCCTGTGCCTGTGGTCGATGACTCAGTTCCTGAGAGCGAGGGAAACATGAGAGGGTGGAGATACATGCAGATCATATAGAGAATATGAGAGCGAGAACAGTGGGTTGAGATGTTGAGAAATAAGTGGGGGGG